AATGCGAAAAGACTTTTTCGACTACCCACGAACCCTAACGAACCGATAAATTGTTGCTCAAATTGATTCTAAATAGTTTAACTAATGTGAATGATATTTCCGTCTGTGCGCGATGTAGAAATAGATGATGAGCTTGTGAAAGCGTTTATCCCTATCCAGCCAATTGCAATGAAAGATCGCGTCCGGCAACTTAGCGCAGTCCGCCTCGAGCATCGATGCCTGATAGCAGGTGGGTACGGTTTGCATCAAAGTAGTATACAGTCGTGACAACCTTGTGAATCGGATCGGTGAATATGTGAAGTATGCAAACGCATGAAATGGCCGCCACGAATGCGAGTTGCAGAAACATGGTCATTGAGGGAATTGATCCAACGATGCGTGGAATCACTCACTGCAGTATCTGTAACCGTGTCGTAGGGGCTGTTACGGTATCCAATCGATAAAAGGAAGACAAAATATATAGTGATTGTGCGCAAAGATCGAAACTAACCAACTGATTGCGCCGTAAACGGCAAAGGAAATAGAGCACGTAAAAAAGGCTCTGCAAGTTATTTCGCAATCTTTAATTTTCAAGTGTTCCTCTTCTCTTACATAGAATTTATCCAAATTTTCGAAAATCTCTTCGACACTACGCAATCGCTTACAGTTTGTGGCAATTACTAGCGTCCTAAATGTAATAATAGACCATTAAGCGAAGCTTGGAAATTGGTCAGTGTTGCAGTCATCGATCGTCCATGGCTTCTATTACACCAATACCAATCGAAGTCGGACTTAGTGCGATCGCAGTTCAGTTGAAAACTATGTGTAACAGATTTAAAAATTTATACGGTCGCAATCGCTTTGTGCCGGTTAGCTCCCAACTTCGAAGTAACCAGGTAAAAAAATCGTTCGATTTGATTTCTGGCTCACGGAGCTTCTTCATTTTAAACTACACTGACTAAACTGAAACTGTCGTAGAGAACTATAATTATGAAAAAAAAGAGAGAATATTCTCTAATTCATTGTTCAGAAAAAGATTTACTAATTAGTATAATGACTTAGCCAAGCATCGGTAATATAATTGTCGAGTAGTTCTGATTTTCCTTCTCAAAGTTTGGGCTTTAATTTTACCAGGCAAACGAGAAACCTACCTACGAATGAGTTAGGATTTTAAACTAGGCCGTAGCAGAAAAACACTCGATGCTTGGTGAAGTAATGTGCAAATTTTCAGATCGATATCTTTAAAACTGAAAGACTAGTTCAGGTATACACAGACGTACGGCTAGATGGACCCAACCTGCTCGTCATGCTTATCATTTGGATATATATTATATTTTATAAGATCTCCGGCGTTTCCTTCTGGCTTTTACAAACGTCCCGATCAATAAAATGAATAGTCAAATTTAATTCACCATTTTGTGAAGTCTTCTCTTATAATTAAGAAGAAGTCATATAATATGTCCAAACTTACTTCAAAACTTTGGTCTGATGCTTAAACTAAACATGATTGATCTAATCACAAACCGCATAATCGCCAAAAAGGATTAGGTTAGTCCAAAGTAAAATTAACAAAGCTCAGCAAAGGCAAAGTAATATATTGTGAATATGTTCTCTGAAAACCATTGGGCTTGGCTAAAAATTTGTACGTCCGAAAACTTTCAGAACTTCTCGAAATTATTGAAGGAATATTTTCTGCTGCTGGAACCTTTCCGAAGTAATAATAAATTATAGTAAGACTATCTAACCCTTATTCGGTTTGAAAATTTGGCTTCATTTAAATTAAGACGCAACTCATATTTTTATCGTAAAGTCGAGAAAAAAACAGGTGACGAAACGGGAATTTATGCATATGAGAGCAAAGCTTCGAAGAAATCAGAAAACCAACTCATCACCGCTACATTGCAAACCCTTTTACATCGACAGAACCAACTGCATTTGAAGCACTCGAAACATCAATCTGATGAGGTATCTGCCGTATAGTCTTGACTTAGCACGGAAGGACTTCTTTTCCGTAAGATGTGAACGTTTTACGACACCTGAAGGCATATTTTGGAAACAATGCAATCAGAGTGGCAAAAATGCTTCAACAATTGGATCACACTATTGCAGCAGTATAAAGTTCTCAATGCCGAATATTTTGATGTATTTTTTCCTAAACCGATCGACCTGACATTTTCGCACGTAAGAATAATGAGCCGCGAATTGACTAGCCCTATGATCACAACCTGTATTCTTCTTTAATAGCAATATTTTTTTTTCGATTTGAGATTATTTCGAGCAGAAAAATCTTCATCGTGGCTAGGCACCATTTTCGGAGGTCCTCCTTTAGATGAAAACAAGATTCAGGGAATTTACAATTTTTCAAAATGAATCGTAGATTATTAAAGTTTATTAAATTCGGTATATCAAATAAAATTGCTCTTCAAAAAATTATTTCTGGCTTGCAAGTGAACACAACCACTTAATGGATGTAATCGGATTAATATTGTCTTCAGCACATTAAGTAGTGCTGGTTGTTATACGACGAAAATTTGGAATATTTTCAAACTTATTTTGAATTTCACAAATCATTAGCCTATGGTTAATATACAAACTCACTAATACTAACAAATTTCACAACGAAATTACTTGAGGAAATGTCTAAACAGCTCGACTCTAACAACCTGCTGAAATTTCGTTTTCATTTCATGTGCCTTATAAATGATTGGTCCGATTTAATAGACCAAAAGTGTGCTAAGCGATATCACCTTAACAGGACTATACTTAATTTTATTTATGTATATATATAACACCGGGATATAATTGCGAAATTTTAATAAACATTTGCCGCACTGACAGGTGAGAGGTGCTAAAGTGTGCAAGTGGCATATGCTTTAATGAAAATTATTTATTTATTRCTAGACATGTCATATCATTTCAACTACCGTTGAAATAATGTTTAATGTACAAATTCAATAAAAGTTGTTTGAATACCTCAAACAAATCGGATAAACCAACTTTGCAATATAACATATCACAATATAAAAGAGTGAAGCCAGATCAAAAAACTGTACTCTCCGGACCACATGGCAGTAAGCAGAAGCATTCGCGCATTTCCAAAATCGCCCACCARATTCGTCCTAGTKRAAGCCGGCTTACCCACAATCGAAGAGAGATTCGAACTGAATCTAATGAAACTTATACCTAAGCTTTTTACATG